GAGTATTCTAGGTAGCTGTGGGAGTCGGTGGGCTTGAAATGAATATCGGTTTCGAGGTGGTTGCCCGATATGGAGACAGAGAGGTCCAGGAAGGGGAGAGAGGTGTTAGAGATGGTCCAGGTAAATTTAAGGTTGGGGTGGAAGGTGTTAGTGAAGTGTATGAACTGTTCGAGCTCCTCGTGGGAGCACGAGGCGGCGCCGATACAGTCATCAATGTAACGGAGGAAGAGGTGGGGTTTAGGGCCGGTGTAGGTACGGAAGAGGGATTGTTCCACGTAACCTACAAAGAGGCAGGCGTAGCTTGGGCCCATGCGGGTACCCATGGCTACCCCCTTTGTCTGTAGGAAGTGGGAGGAATTGAAAGAGAAGTTGTTGAGTGTGAGGACGAGTTTGGCTAAGCGGATGAGGGTGTCAGTGGAGGGGGACTGGTCGGGCCTGCGGGAGAGGAAGAAGCGGAGGGCCTTAAGGCCATCTGCATGGGGAATGCAGGTGTAGAGGGACTGGACGTCCATGGTAAAGATGAGGTGTTGGGGACCGGGGAATTGGAAGTTCTGGAGGAGGTGGAGGGCGTGGGTGGTGTCACGGACATAGGTAGGGAGTTCCTGGACCAAGGGGGAGAAAATGGAGTCGAGATAGTTGGAGATCAGTTCGGTGGGTTGGATTGCATCCTCGGATATTACTGGCTACAGAGATAGTGGATCCACAAGCGTCCTTATAATCTAGAAATCTTCCAGAATCTAAAAAGATGTACTGGCAGATCATTTAGGAATACATAATATCAATCAAGCAGTCAAAATAGCTGCATGAAAGGGAAATCATGCCCAACAAAATTAGAATTCTTTCAGGAGGCAACAAGCAGGATATATAAAGGGAAACCATTAGATGTAATATCTGGGTTTCCAACAGACAATTGAGGTTAAATGGAGAGGAAAGCCTAACTCATAGAAGACAGTTGAGATTACAGGGCATTTTCAGGATGGTAACTTGTAACTAATGGAATGCACAGGGATCAGTGCTGCAGCCACAACTATCCGCAATATAATAAAAATGATTTTGATGAGGAAAGTGAATGCATTATTGTCAAGTTTACGCAAGAAACAAATACACAGGGAGCAAGTGGCAAGATGACAGAGGAAAACAGATAGGTTCTGAAAATGGAGAAAAATTTAGCAGATGGAATATAAAAAGTTGGAAAATAGGAGATCATGCACTTTGGCAGGAGGAGCAGAATATTATGAAAATGGAGAAACATTGCAGAAAACTGCAACACAGGGATTCCTCATGCAAAGAAAAAAGCTAGCATCCAAGTTCAACACGTAATAGTCTTGTTAAAATTATATAAAATTCTAGTTAGTCCACTTTGAGAATATGGTGAATAGTTTGGATACCGCATCCAAGGCAACATATACAGACATTGGAAGCAGTCCATAGAAGGTTCACTAGGCTGATCACAGGTATGGAGTGATTTTCTTATGAGGACAGGTCAAGTAGTTTGGGCTTGTACTCACTGGAGTTTAGAAGAATGAGGCGACCATACTGAAACATAAGGTTCTTAGAAAGCTTGACAGGGTAGGTAGGTGGTGAGAATTTATTTCCCTGTGTGGGAAGAGTATATAATCAGAAAACAGAATCTCAGAGTATGGTGTTAGTTATTTAAAACAGATGATGAGGAATTTCTTCTGAGGCTGATGACGCCTGTGATACTCTTTACCACAGAGGGTTGAAGAAACTGGGCGAATAGATATAATCAAGGCTGAGAAACTTCTAAGCAGAGGTAATCAGTAGTTATGAGGAAAGGACAAGAAAGTGATTTTCAGAATTACAACATAGCTACGATCTCAGTGCATAATAAAGACTTGATCAGCCAAAAGGCCTACTTCTGCCTCTATGTCTTAATCATTTCAAATATGTAATTGTGCTTTTATTTCTTCCATGTAAATGAATATAAATTGATTATGAAGGAGGTCTGTGTGCTGAGTTGTTTCCAGGGTGCTGGAAAGGAGCAGCGAAGAAATAGTAACTATAGCTGAAGAAATGCATGTGGGTTTCAGAACAACATGAGAGGATGGGGAAAAATTGGTCAAGACAATCTTGCTAAAGTATGTAAAGTAATATTAACACTGTACTGGAGCCAAGGGAACTGTGGCCCATTGTTTGTCACCACAAAGATGTCTCATTCACTCTAGTATTGGAAACTGATAAGAGTTTTGAAGATAATAGCCCAGACAGTTGCTTATTTTTCTTCAAACATAACCTGGAGGGGGGCCGAGGGAACATACATCCAGCAACAGCTATGAAGAGGATGAGGATGTAATTTAAAAACACTAAATAGGTCAAATGTAGGTATGGCATACAGTCATAAAGGGAAAAAAAAAGGTATACAAAAGAGAAAGATAGAAATTGCTGGAAAAGCTCATCAGGTCTGGTAGCATCTGTGGAGAGGAATCAGAGGTAATATTTTGTGTCAAGAGACCCTTCCTCAGAACTGATTTCTCTCCACAAATGCTATCAGACCTGCGGAGTTTTTCCAGCAACTTCTGTTTCTGATTTACAGCATCCACAGTTCTTTCAGTTTTTATTAGGTATACAACAGACAGTCTAGAAACAAGAGAGACAACTCGCTGCAGACAGGTAGAGCAGTTTGGTCTCCCCCACTGAAGACAACTTGGGAGTTTTTAAAAAAATTCTCTCACAGGATGAGGGCGTCACTGGCTGACCAGTACTTACTGCCCTTCCCAGAGGGCAGTTAAGTGTCAATCACATTGTTGTGGGTCCAGAGTCACATGTAGTTCAGCCCAGGTAGGGGTCAGGTTCCTTCCCCAAGGGACATTAGTGAACCATATGGGTTTTTCTGACAATCAACAATAGTTTCATGGTCATCATGAGACTCTTCATTCCAGATTTTTATTGAATTCAAATTCCACCATCTGCCACGGCGGTTTCAAATCCAGGCCCCCAGAACGTTATCTGGGTCCCTGGATTAACAGTCCAGTGATAATACCACTTGGCCATCACCTTCCCTCAGAGATTAGTCATCTGAGACAAAGCCTGACTTACAGGACCCTCTGAGCAACCAGTGCAATTATGAGTAAGTACTCTTGCTTAGTATTTTAATAAAGGCGTGTCACAGTTAGTGGAATAGATTCTGAGTTGCTATGTGTCACAAATATCTACATATCTGGGCCAAATTTTTTGACCAAATAAGAGTGCCTTACAGTACCCCGATAGCCTTGCACCCATTGTTCAACAAGAATCCACCTTTGCCTTAAAAAGTATTCGAAGACAACCCTTCAGTCACTTTTTCCACAGAGAGCACCAAGTACTTATGACCCTCAAAACAAAAAGTAGCTTCCAGTTTTAAATAAGTGACTCCATATTTTTAAACCGTGACCTCTAATTCTAGATTCTTCCATAAAAGAGAATATCCTGATTACATGCACCCTGTCAAGACCCCTCAAGATCTTGTGTTTCAATTAATTCACCTCATTTTCTTCTAAACTCCACTGAATAGAAGTCTAAGTTGCTCAACGTTTCCTTGTAAGGCAACCTGTCCATTCTAGGCAGTGGTTGAGTAAACCTCTGGACTGCCTCAAACATGTTTTACATCCTTCCTTGAATAAGCAGACCAATGCTGCACGCAGTATTCAAGATGTGGTCTTACTAGTGCCCCAAAAGCTAGCTTTCTGAATCACTTCTTGTACCAAACTGCCTCGTGATTGATGCACGAGAAGACTCAGATCCTTCTGCAAACTCTCACCATTTAGACACTCAGTATCATATCAAAGAGGTCACTATCACTTTTTCCCATGATGTACTCCATTTCCTTGATCGCTGCCCACTCCCTTAACCTATCCATATCCCCTTATGTTCTCTTCACAACTGAAAAGAAATGGGTAGCAACAGCATTAACAAATTTAGTAACCATACCACGTGACGACAAAGGCAGCAAAGTGAAATGCCTTTGTTTACAAAGTGAAATGCCTTTGTTTACAAAGTGGATTCAAAACATCATACATAGGCATTTAACTACAGGTGCACAGGGGAAGGCAAAAACCAGAACTGCAGCTTCAGTGCACGCAAACTCGAAATTCAGAGGATATCTTTCCTTGCTGGATAGTGAATTCTATAGATAGGTTAAAAGAACTTTTCTGAAATTCATCCTATACAAGGTACTCCAAGTTAACAATCCTATCGCACTATCTGCACGTTAATAAAATTAGTTTTACATTACTTAGAAAAATCCCACAGCATTCTCTTCAATTTTAGAAACTTCACTGATGATTGAACATGAACAACAGCCAATGCAATCTGCTTGGCCCTACCTGTCATTGAAAGAGTTGCTACGGCTACGTCTGCGCTTTCCACTTGATCTGCTCCGTGAACTGCACAAAAAAAAAAGACCAATGAAATAAAATACACTGAACTGGAGGACAAAATGCATTGCAGATGCCAAAGTTACATACTTTTTAGGGCTATCAGATCTCCGGTGACTTCGATCGTAAGAACGACTTCGTGATCTCCTCCGATCATAACTTCGACTCCTGGACCTTCTCCTCCTATCATAGTCATCATAACGGTCATATCGTGGTGAACTTCGTGAAGATCTTCGTTCCTTTGATTTCATCTGACCAGGTGCTGCAATTACAAAGACAAAAATATCACCCCATCCAGAACACCAATCGTTTATTGAAAGTATCTTTGCTTTTTCTACCACACACTTCCAAATTCAAGCTTTGCATGGAACAAGCAATTCTGCAATTAAAACTTCAGCAGCTTTCAGTGAGCACATTGTTAGTTTTTTGTTGCCATGCACCAAAACCAGCATTCCCAAGCATTCTAGAATGCATCAATCCCATATGGAAATTTCCACTCAAAAGAAAACTACACAATCAACATATTTGCTTAGTTATAAAATGTGTCTTACTAAATCCTTCAAATTATCAATACCTCAGTGTAAAGCACAGGATGAACAGATTCAATAAATATTCACATTCATTACTGTCAATGCACAAAACAGGCAATTTCCATGAGCATACAATTTAATTTAGATGAATTATACTTACTTTTTCGATCACCTTGGGCGAACTGGATCTCAATCTGGCGGCCACAGACCCATTTCCGGTCCAGGTTGTGGAGTGCATCTTCTGCATCACGAACATCTTCAAACATGCTAAGCTGTTAAGGGGGCTTTTCACTTTCACAGGTTTCGAACACATCCTACAATCTTCAATACACATTTTCAACCACAACATTGTTTTGCCAAAACTTAGAAAATTTGCTTTTTGTATTATATTAAATTGCATAAGATGTCAAAACTACATCAAATATAGCTTATTACAAAAACTGTGCAAATTTCTTATTATTATTAATAAAATAGGGTTTTCATTCAAATTTTCTAAGTGAATCATAATACTAGAAAATAAATGCAGAACAGAAAGACAGTATTACATCCTGATGCAAAATATTATTAGGTCGTAGCTACCCCATTACCACATGAAATTCAATCTAGAATTATTTTCTGATCTCAGTCTGGTCTCATTTATTAATAAAATCATATTTAACAAAATGCTGCAAACAATTCAGTTGTGACTTGTAAATGAACATAAATAAATGTCACATTGCTAGTCAAAAAACAAAATAATCTTTTAAGTGTTTCACTCCAGTAGGATGTATTCTACTGTGGAGGAGTAAAATGTGCTACAATAGTAGCCACTGCACAAGGACAGAACAAAGGTCTGCTCATTTGGCAAGTGACTTCCCACAGCTTGCAGGCATCCTTTAATAAATGTCAAGCCCTGCTTTAATTCACTAAAATAAGACATCCAGTAGTGCCTGCAACTGTAAATCTGCAGCATCTAATTCAGATCATGGAGGAAGACAAATATGGGACATCTTGTGCAAAAATAGACAGTTAAACAGTATTTGGAGAAGTGACAAGAACGAAGTTGAATAAAATATAAAAAGTATTCTAAACCTTTAAAAAAAACTTAGGTCTTCTATTTCACACCGTAGTGATCGCCTGTTGAGTCAACAGCTAGAAACAAAAAGGTGTCAAGAACACGCGAATCAAAATCAATTTTTGAAAATAAAAAAAGAATGAATTTATCTGCAGCACTGAGACTACGATTTATCAGTTATAAACGTTTTAATATATATTTGTATTACATAAGGATCATTTAAGTTTGTAAAATTGCAGTTAAGAACAATATTTAAGAGCAAATGAACTGTTTCACTATGGTAGGATACAATATCAGGACTTTGCTGGTTACCTTAAATTTGGCTGTAAACTTGACCTTGCACCGTCAGCTTGACCTTTAACTCTTTAAGTGCTTGCCAGAAGGACTTGACATGAGGCGCTGGCCCAAATAAGACACTTGGCTTTGACTTTGACAAAACAACCTTTTTTCCAATTGCAGACAAATCGAAGCCTTGACTTTTTCCCTCTTCAAGCTTTAATCTTTTTCACCCTCCCTCTCTTTTCTTCAAGCCTGATCCTTAAGAGGTCTTTGGCTTGTCTGCTTGTCTTATGCTTGGGTTCTATCTAAAAGGCTCTTTCATACTTTCTTTGTGGGTTCGCCAGTTACAGCGGATTGCTTTAAATTTTCTGAGGCAACAACAACAAAAAGGTTATGTCAGGGGATGAGTATAAAAAGACAAACATGCAGGGTTTGAAATCACTTTTTTGACTACCACCAAAATTAGCCAAAAAAGACACCAGCAAGTATTTTTTTTTTAAACCAACAGCTAAAAATTGTGTCACATTTTCTATTTAGATGAACTTGTGATCAAACAAGAAATACATACCTTATAGCAGAATATAAAAAAGGAAAAAAATGTTAGACAAGCAACAGTGGGGTGCACTAAATGAACCCAGAACCAGCAAATCCCTGCAGCAACCAACTCAAACAGCACATTAGTTACACAAAGCAGAGCAGTAGGTCTTTTTCTACTAGAAGCATAATAGCACTACTTTATTCAGTAAGCTTCCTAGTCCTGTCAACATGCATTTGTATTCACAAGAACATTAGAGCACACCAACTCTGTGTCAATGTTTACATTTAATAGCCAGATTATGCCAAAATACTTACCAAATAACAAATACATTTAGTTATGCAATGGAGCATACAAGTCTTCAGTTACTTTAATATTTAAGTTAAATTTATAATTTTCTCAAAGGAATATCATGCACAGTCCACAAAGTCATAAGTAAAATGAAATTCATTTAAACAACCTTACGGTCAATGAAATTTTGTCAAGACACGGAAGCTAAATTTTCCAAAAATTGCATTTGCCATAATAGCTTTCCTTGGAAAATATTCAGGTCTCAGACCATCAAGCTTCAAAAATAAGTAAAATATATTATAATTGAGGGGAAGGAGGAATCAAAGCTTCATTTAAATTTTCAGCTCAAAATAGGTGTAGATGCAATACTCAAATGACTAAAACGTGTAGAATGCAGAAGATCAGAATTCCCAAGTTAAACTGCACGTGTAAAAATTGCTAAAAATATTCAATCTGAATTTAAAATTTGTCATGCGTAATTCTGCATCACAAACTAATGATCTGACAATAGTGCAATATCTAGCATTTTCAGATTCTTCCAAAAATCTCAGCACTAGAATAAATCAACTCCCATCTTACAATGCAATTTACTGCCAGGTGCTTAGCATTAGATTATTCAACATTGTGAAAGCAAATAAACACTAAACAGGAATTTAGTGATAAAACTGAATTTTCATAAATAAAATTAGGACTATAAGGTTTTAGAAAAGGAGCCTGCTTTGTCAATTTTACATTTATAGCTAATTTATCACATCCAAACACTTAGTTATGAAAGTATGATCAGGCATTATAAACAAAACACACTGCATTTTGAATTTAGAACTAAATTCAAACATTTATATTTTTAATGTAATTCAGATTTCGATTTCTTTTAGGCCAAATTATCCATACAATATTATTCCATAACTCTGATTTAAGAGTATGGGTGTGTGAATTTCTGAGGAGTAAAAAAATCAATTCGATCTAGGTATTCATGTCAGCTTATCGTGAAAAGGACCTGCCAGAGATGATGTTCTTCCAATTTTAGAAAAATAAAATCACTGGATGAAAAAAAATGGATTCTGTTCTAAAAGCAGGCTGGAATAAGAGTTCAAAAAATTTCTGATTCAAGATTCAGACTTAATTCAATACAACGTAGCACAATAATGGGACAAGTGCATGTAATACTTCTGTATAATTCATTGGCAATGCAAGCATCTATTACTGGTGTACATTAACTAAACCCATAAGAAATGGTGACAGCAGGCCAAGCAGCATCAGAGGAGCAGGAAGGCTGAC